ATGAGCCAGGTCCTTCGGGTGAAAACGCCTACCCACAGGACGATACAGAGAGAAAGAGAGAGAGAGAGAGAGGGAGAGAAAGAGAGCGAGTGAGAATGAGAGGAGGAGAACCATCTGTGTACACTAAGATTATATTTGGCTTGGTCTCCATGTAAATTCATGAGTTACCCGACATCCTGACATTCGACTAGTTTGGTCCGGATAGATGCAAAGCCGTTGTTGGCAACAACTTCGATGGCTTAGACTGTCGCCGATCGAAATTAGATTATGAACGACGTACTGTAAGCGGGAAGAAGGTATCGTACATTCATATAGAGATGTTGAAGAAAAGCAAATACATAATGCACTGCCCTTGGCTTATAATTATTACTTATTATTATACGTTTTTAAGTTTGAATTTTTTCAAAATAATAATCTTTGCGATCTTGAATAAACTCGTTATTAAAATATAAATACTTGCTTAAAATTATTTCTAGTTAAGTTGCGGCGGTTAGATGTGTGTATATTTACTCCGATAGATGTAATTTTTACGGTGCAAAAACATCGTGCCGAGACGTATATCGTCGAGAAATCTGATGATATGTCGAGAGACGATTTCCCTTATGCAAATCTTAATCCACTGAGCAGAGAAAAAGAAAACTCTTAAACAAGGAGCATCGGTAAACAGAAGGAATATCAAGTTCGCGCAGGGATACGTCATTTAAATTATTGCGCTCGTAAGACGATAATTATAACGCGAAGCAAGTTGAAACGGCACGATAATGCTATAACACAGTAGACTGCATACCGAATTTGCGTCTTTGCTTCTTGTTGAGAGAAAGAGAGGGAGAGAGAGAGAGCGCATTATGCGCGCTCGCAATACTGAGTTAACGCGTGAGTCTTGGAAGGCAAGATATTATGTGGTAATAAGGTTGTTGAATCATTCCCGTTGAAGTCTCATTTCGTATTTAACGTCGCTGGCTCGCAGAGCGTGAGATGCGGAAATTATTTTGCCGAGAAGTAATTTTGTTCTATGCAGGTGCAACTAAATCGAAATTTTCTCTAAAATTCCGAAAATGTAAAATCAAACTCGAAAAATATTAGGATGTGCTACCCTTATATCATATTCTTTTATTTCCCAAGATCGTTGATTTTGAATATAAATATCCAACCATTTTAATAAATTATAATGTGATTTATAAGATGAAATTATTCAAAATAATTTATTTTCTTTTTTATTATTATTTATCTGATCTCGATCTCATCTGGTCTGATTGTACTAAAAATTCTTATCCATCGTTGACAAGATTTTTTAGAGAATTTGTATAGGAACATATTAAATTCAATGATAATCATTGTTGTGTCTCGAAGTATAGTCTAGATGCAGTTAACAGAATAATGTTTCATCAACATCGTCGGATGTCTTAGCGATAGATATCGATACCCTGCTTGATATCGATACTGTTTACTCCAACAGACTTTAACTAGAAGCCTTCCATTAGCAACGCGTAAACGTCATGACGTTCGCAATTAGAATCAGATCTGGCACTTTTCGCGCAGAAACTTAACTCTTATCGGGAATCTCGAGTATTCACTTTGAGAAAGTGGATAGAGAGATAGCTCCGCTACACTCCGATATGTTTCCGACTTGCCGAGATGTCCGTTCCCGCAAACAATTGACGCAGAACAGGACGTGCGAAGGCTAAGTCGCGTCGGGTATTTACATTATAATGGTGCACGCAACTGTGATTCATTGAGTTCGTACCGTTCGTTATTAATGGCCGCCGGACTCGCGCCGCTATCGCCGAGCATTGTGTGTCAGTCCTTCTCGTTCTACACGGTATGCCCCTCGCATTAACATAAGCGCCGTATCTCGTGTGGTGTCACGCGGAGACAGGAGACACCACGGCAACTACTCTCGCCGCACTCCTTCTGTTTCCGATATACCAAACCCCATAAAGCTACTCTCACATTAGAGTTCGCGAGCGTCCGTGTCCTATCGTTGTCTGAATTGTCGAAAACTCGTCAACGAACTCGCGAATACTCGCGATACTCCTTTACTTTCTTTACGTTTATAACGGTCTGCCTATAGAATATTTGAATTATAGATTTTACAAACAATTTACATAGATTAATAATATATAAAAATATTTATATGCAATATGTAGGTATAACAGCATGACTAAAGTTCATAAATTTTAAGCAAAAGTAAATATACTTTGCTTTTTTGTTTATTTAGAAGTAACATGTAAATTGTTAACTTAAATATTTTACGCGGATAAGAGCTGATGTGAGGACAACTTAATGAAGATTGAAAGAAACAGCCGCTCGCTCTAATGATGACGTCGCCGGAACCCGTTCGATGCATTCTAAGTGCCGACACGCCTCTAAATTAGTGTCTTCGCTCTGTAGTCTCGAGGTACTATACAACGTCGAGGTTGCTTGACATGTAAAAAGTGCCGCTGCTCGGCTCGCCTCGACTAAATATAGTAGTTCGGTGGAAATCTTGTCGTCACGTGGTACACGTCTTCGAGAGCTGTCCGCGTCATCTGCGCTAGCTTCAACGAAGAGAAGAAACATGAAGCCGTGACGGTGAGGAAAAGACGGTCGCGTTCATTGAGAAGCAGGCCTGGCGGCTGCCTGTGTGCTTAATGTCGTTCGCTTTCGTTCCTTTTGACGCAATTAGTCGAGCAGACACGGCACTCGTGTTAAGAGCAACGTTGCATTTGCGTCACTTACGAAATTTGAGTCCGTAGTATATTTGGAGCTTTTCTGTAAAAGAAAAAAAAAAAAAACTACACGCAGTTTTAACTTTGAAAATAATTATATTAAAAAAATGAAATTTTATTTTTTTTAGACATAATATATATTAATAATATGAGAAATTGATAATTTTTGTCATATTTGATATTATTAATTAAAATTCAATCGATAGAACTATGTCAACAGTTGTCATGTATTATCGAGTGAATGCCATTGAATGATAAAGTTTATAGCCTGCGATTGACATGAAACCATTCCCAACTCGATTATCACCAAGGAAATGACACGTCCCGATATCTCCGTGCTTCCTGTTTTAGCAATGAAACTTTGCGTAGGGTGGTGAATTGTGAATTTCAATTCGCGATTGTATTGAAAACTGAATTATTAAAAAGTAAAATGGGTAAAATATGAATATAGAATGAATATACGCAGATGCAATATACATATGAACAATGTAAGATTATTATGAGCGCGTTAAAAGAGAAAAGAGAAAGAGAGAGGGATACGTATATATATAAAAAATAATTAAAATAATTAATTTTAGGTACTTAAAAAAATTTTGCATTAATAATAAAACATGCCATTAATATATGAAACGGAAGAAAATACTCTAATGACATTCTATCATTAACTATCATAACTGTATTCAAAGTTAATATATGTTGCATAATCATAATATAAGTGGAAATTGCGCGAAAAGGGCAAAAATTATGTATTCTACTTCTCTGCAATTCAAATTACATTTCTCATTATTAAGCTTATTATAGCACATTATGTTGTAAATATCCATTCGTTGAAGAATGCACGCAAGTTTGACATAGTCATATAGTTATTTTTTTCAAATTTACATTGGTTTCGGTCTAAGGTGAAACATGTAGATTTTAGCACAATCGTATTTTTAAATGTGTGATATTGCAGTTGTAACAAGTAGGCTCGTAAATGTTCCCACTTCTATCGTCATGAAATTGTCTCGCATAAATGAACGCCTGAGTATGTATCAGAATCGAGCTAATTATAAGTGAGATATCATCAAGCAATATGTAATTTGAGATGGGAATAAAAATAGAGAAATTGTATATTATATTAATTTACATATTTTCTAATACATACCACAGTCGCTATAAATACTACCTGCGTTGTGTTTTTTACCATGTACAAATATTGTTGCGGTCGAAACGTTGCAAAGCAAATACATATTTTATATTCAAGATAGAAAATGTATGTGAAAAGAATTGAAAATTTGCAAATATTGATTAGTTGCATTGACATTTTCTCTAAGGGAAAAATATTTCTAAAATGTTCATTTATTTGTAATTCAAATATAATTGAATAGAAATGTGTGATACTTTATACAATATTTATATTAAACTTTTTTTATTAATACATATTTTAATGATTTTTAATATATGGAGAGAGAACGCACGAAATCATATAATATAGCGAGAAAATATCAAATTAAGGTTTTATTCGGTTTTTATCAAAAAATCTCATGCGGATCCCTTGAAGATCCATCTTTCGTAAAGCGTGAGCATCTTGGTACGTAAATTGTGCCCTACGTTGCGCCGCGATCTCGTTTGAATGGGACTGTGCACGACGAATGCGGATTGCACAGATGGTAGCGCGAAATGAGTTAAAACCGTCCATACGTGCGTCTTTCGAGAGTGGAGGATATACTTCTTTTCGCGGCGCATCCGGTCTTTGCGCCATTCCAGACCGCGGCGTCTCCAGGCTGCCTTTGTGCGTTCCATTTGCGTAAAGACGCGAATAAAATGCCGCGTAATTTATTCGCCGGCGAGCGAGCAGCCGAATCGCGCGAATGCGTATTTGCGGCTTGTCCGCCTAAGGAAACGCGCGATTTTCTTTCAATGCGGTGTATCTCTTTCAGGATAATCGCACGCATGTGGCATTCGTTTCTTAAAAGAGAAAGGATTTTTTATCTTCTTTTCATTTTTCTTTCACGGACGTTTCAGTTCCGTGCGAATTTATTTAAGAGATCTATTATGGAAAATTAAGAAGTACATTTTTATTCTCATCGATGGAAAACTAGACAATTTATTGAAGGAAGATTGAATTGCATAACAAAGTCAATTTATTTTGATCTACTCGTAGATTGAGATACGCTACAAATATTGATAATATACAGTCTTTAGAATAAATATCTTATTAATCTCTCATTTTTTCTCTTCCCCTTCAGAGAGATCGCGTATTCTACGATTGACATTCCGCTTTATAATGATGACCCGTTCTTTCTGTTACAGGTCGTTATGTTGGCGGCAATCTCCTCGGCAGGTAAGTAAGTAGGAAGTAAGACGATCGTCCAACCTTCTCTTTGATCCGTAGTAATAAAAGGAGGGTAATCCTGCACGGAACTCGGCGATATAAAAAGACGTAGCCTCTCTTAGATATACTTTCCGTGGGCGTACTCGGAGCAAATAGTTTCGGATGAGTTTTCCCCCGCGGAGAACTTTGCAATCCCGACGAAGGAGCTGACGCGTGATGCACACGTGACTTCTTATACTTTCGTCTTCTCGGTGAGTCCGTTTTCTCTCTTTCTCTCTCTTCTTTTCTCTTGCATCATACAAAACGATATCGCGATCCTACGCCTCTCGTGTCGTATTCTTTTATCTTCCGTTCGGTGGCACTTTGAGTTCGTGTGGTTTCGCGCCCTCCTTCACCCCTCCTTCACTCCTCCCTCACCGCTCCTTCACCCAGCGCCGCGGGAATTGTTGAGGAAGTTTGCTTTGACCGGATAAAATGTAATTTTCGGGTACCGTCGACCGCTTTTAGTTTGGAGCGCTTGTCAGCGAAACCAATTTCGTGTTGCAAACTCTGAATGGAATTGATGCGAAGCAGAAGAAGAAGAGATTTTTACATTCCTGTAGCGATATTGCAAACTTTATTTAGCCATGCTTGCGCACATCTTGCGTCAGAAACCATCTGATGAAGACCACTTTGTGAAACCAAAAAATTTTACTGCTAAGAGACTATAAAACATTTTTCTTCTGAAAATTATATATTATACGATTAAAGTAATTCTTTTTTTAGATACGATCTTTTTCGAAATATGAAATTTGAACGAACATATATTTTTCTCTTACGTTATTATAATTGATAATTGATTTTTTAATATGTTGATGATATGTATAGATATCAATACTTAATAATAATGCCGTGTTCCGAACAGGTAATATAATTCGCAGCATGAAATTTTATTAATAAACGATAATTGCCAAATTCTATCGTCAAAAAGTATAAATTTTTTTGAGATTAATACGAGGAATGTTTGCATACAAATCTCAAGACTTGATGAAGCTTAGCCATTATATTATATTACTATTACACGTGTACCTGAGTGCACATATCTTTCGTTATTTGCTAGCTCAAAGCTGGTACAGTGTAAAAACTCGTTTCAGTGACCGTCAACAAGCGGACACTGCGCCACGAAAAATGAATTTTCCCTCCCACGTTTCGCTAATGAACACAAGGGTACACCGCACGATCGTGTTATATTCAACGGGCATTATCAAACACGTAGCAAGCGCGTTGGAGAATATTTCACTGATATACATATATCTATACAGAGAGTTTATTATATATAACATAGATAACATAGATAAGTACCATAAGCCGCCCAGCACAAAAGATAGTAAGCTCATTAAGGGAGGAGAGAGAAGGGTGGGATTCTAAAACTTTTAACGAAATATAATTTTACTCTCACGTTACGATGTTGGATTATGCGAGATGCGCGAGTGAAATTATAAAACACACTTTTCCCACTCGGCTGCATCTAGGTACATCGAACTGTTTAGATCGTCGAAATTTTATATATATATATTTGATGCTTCTTTTTTTGTAGATTTATATAATTGTACTGTGCTTTATCGTGCTTTTATAAACTGAAAAAGGATATTATTAAATAAGACTGATTTAAATATCATAAAGTATCTTCTAACAAGAATTTTGCTTAGTACAAATAAAGATTTTTGAATATTTATTCTCTCAATGAATTGTGATATGCAAAATTACTATTTACATATGGAATGAGTTGATATATAATTTATATATTATATGCTTATATATATGCTAATAATATGTTGTTTAGTATTCTTAAATTTTTTTTTCTTTCTGGCGATAGAATTTGGCTATGATTTTGCAATATTGACGGTCAGCGACAGTTTTTTAAAATTTATTAAATTTATTATTTTTGCTATTGATTCTAATTTCTTGGCAATATCTTAATATCGATAATAAATCAGAATTATGCGCGATTATTCAACGTGAATATTCAACATGCAATATATTGAATATAATTCATGCAATATATTCGTATTCAATATTTATTCAATACATATTTACTCGATGTACCATTTCCAACTTGAATATTCTATTTTTATTTTGCATCTCTTAATGTGAATATATATATATATATATCAATTTTCTATGAACATTCTAATGATGTTCTAGTCATGTTGGTACATTATTTCAAATATTGATACGAATAAATATAATAATCTGCGTTTACTGAAATGCTTTGCTGGCCGCAATTTACCAGCATTGCGAAAACGATGCGTGTGCAATGAGAATTTGCATTATTACGAGAATACATCGTGTGGCAACCGTCAAGGTAAGATGTAATCCAGGATGGCAGGTGCGCGACTGCATTTTGGAGACAAGCCGAGTGTCCGAAGTTCTTGGAGAAGAGGACCATTAATTCAGCGCTCTCGGCGAGTAAAGGTAGGCATTATGAATTGATGTAAGACTGCGGGCCCGATGCATTGCTATAGGAAATCGACTAAAGTGCCCGATCAAGTTTGATGATATGGTTAAGTAGAACTTTGGGGATGGCTTTCGTGTAGACATCATCTTTTGAATAATTGCGTTGATGATGTACCAGAAGAGATTGTATTCGTAAAAAAATCATAAGTTTAATCCATAATATTTGGATATTTATTAGCGTTAAACGTAATGTAATATTTTTGACATTTGTTTTTTTTTTTTAATGTATTTTATTTTAATTTATTTGTTTTTAAAAGATATAAAAGCAAAAACGTATTTCATAACGACAAAAGCGTTCCACATTTTCTGGCACAATTATTTTCATTAAATTTTTATATTTACTTTTTCATATTTGTATTATATGTACGAATGTACACTGTCTGACAATGAACATTCGTTCCATTTCTCTAGTGAGGTAAACATAGGAGTGGGAATACTTATACTGAAAACATTACGATCACACAAAACTACGATTTACTAAAAAAATTGCATTATCTCTACATACATAATAACTGATACAATAATATTATTTGCTTTAATTATATATTTCTATTAGAATTTATATCTATATTATAAATTTTCTAGAATATCTGAAATTTCTCATATCGAACTTTTTTACCAAAAATGTAATTAAGAAGTCTTTATAACAAAAACATTCCTTGATACAATTATACACTATCATTAAATTGATTATATCAAGTTCAGAGAAAAATACAATATAGTAGATAATAAATTACATATTATATGACGAGAGACTGTTTATTGATAAATAACCGCTGTTTACGTAATCAAAAAAGGACATGTTTTTCTTCTCATTCAATAGGAAAAAGATTTAAGCGATTGAGAGTTTTTTCTCTCGCACATCTATCATCTTGTTATTTGAAGTAACTTTTCAATAACGTCAATGCATCGGTAACCCCTCTTCGTGAGATGAAAAAAAGCTTAACGCATTGGGTTTCTTTTTATTTGACATAAGGCTGTATTTCCGTGTTGGTACAACTGCCATACCGATATACCTATATCTTGCTATTTTTCTTTTTTATAGAATAATTTTTCTAAAAATTACATATAAGAATATATATATAAAAGGACTATTTTATAAAAATATATATAATAATCTGCAGATTTATAAATAAGCTACAAATTTATAAAAAATTTACTATGACGAATACTATTTAATAAGAACATGTTTTATATGATTGCTATTGATTTCTTTATATAATGTTAATATATTTGAGAAAATTTGTCATATATATATATAGTAGAATGGTAATCTATATTCGAACATGTCATCAATTTCTACACGTGAGTACATACAAGTTCAAATGACCTATTGCATCGGTTAATTAACGAATGGGACATTAGAAATGTCTGAAACTTTCATTTCATACGTCAACTGGTGCATGGTTTATAGTATTAGCTTGAATATAGTTTCTCATATGTATTTGCGTCATGTGCAGCATTTAATCGAATATTTCATTAAACTGCAATATTTGACATTATTAATTTTTACTATCAATATCTATATCTGAACATTCACATGATCGCAGCAATCGTATTACTTATTATTTAGGATATTATAGCTGCAAGAAAATGTTATTTTAGATTATTTCGTCATATTTCTTTGACTATATCAATCTAATTTTCCGTCAAGAAACATATTTAGTAAAGTTTGATAATATCTGAAAATATCTTTTTATCATTCATCAAATTATTATTGGGCACCGGCTACGAAAAGCTGGAAGCTAAATATACTCGAATCGGAAAACTTTAATTCTTAAATGCACAGCATTGTGGATTCGCGATAATTGAATGTAGTCTCTTTTCAGCGCCGTTCTGAAAGTTCCAAGTGCGTCTTTATATAAGATCACGATAAAGCGTTTACGTCGATCTTAATAAGTCAACATATAAAGCTTAGTCTTTTTTTTTACTTTCGTGTATATACTAGCTAAAAGTCAGTTTAAAAAATGTTATCTATTTTATTGAAGAGATAAAAAACCACGTGCATTTAAGGATTAACGTATACGTGTGACAATGAGCGGTTTCAACAATTTCGCTCGCGCGACAATTAGTATCCGCGAAGCAAAATTGGAGGGGACACTTGTCACTTGACTGTTGTCACAAACGGGAACAGGAACGGGCTCTGGCATTGTCACTCCGCCATTGTGCAGAAGTTAGTCGCTCCGCTGTTACATAATAGTTGGACCACTGTGTTATTCAATTGTATAATTCCCAGTCGGTGGGCCATGTAACGCGCATATAATTCGCCTATATATCCTGTTGATATCAATTGATTGCCGACGGGGACCGAGTCGGTCATGTTTTTGCATCGTTTCTGACTTGTATCAACACCCGTGCGGTTTTCATGAGATTCGTGCAACGCTATTTATGATTCGTCGTGAGTAATTCGATGTATTCGCAGAGGTGACCGTAATTTTACTATTGTACTGTTTAAAATGTGCGATATTTCAATTATATTGTACATACATTAACTCTCACACGTGTTCCGCTTTGTATCCCCAACATATAGAGTAACTTTTATTATCGTATTTATTATGTTATATTTTATTAACTTGAAATATTTATTCTATGCAATTAATAGAAGCCAGAAATTCTGGTGATGCTTTCGCAGATTAATATTTATAATGTCTTGCGCGAAAATTGCAACAAAATTTATTTTTATTTTTTTGACTTTTCAAGGAAGAGAGGAGAGAAGTTTATACTTAGAAAATAATATTGTTTTATTCATTACAAGTCATAGCACACATTTTTTTTTAAATAAAATTTGTAATATATATTCTTTAAAAACAAGAACGATAAAATTATCACACCAAAGAACTTTAGATTTTATAAAGATTTTAGAAGGAATCTCAGAGCGACGTCCATGGCATTAAACATTCTTTCATTATGATTTTATACGAGAAATTTTCTTATATCAACTGACATCGTATTTCAGAAGTGCAAAGTATTCTCGTACATTTTTCACAAGTAGATGAATCAGTTCCAGCTGTGATTTATATTTCATACCGTAGCAGTTGAGTCAATATATTAGCTTGGTCCCTCCTGCTTTTCGTAGAATTTTCAAAAACTAGTTCAGCAAACTCGATCGGATGCATGACTCATATACGGGTCTGCACTTTTCCATTATCTTTGCATCAGTATTCCTGCCGTCGCCTAGCATTGCATTAAAATGTAGATCACCACGCTTCCCGTTTTCTGAACCAAAATTTTCTCCGAAAAATGCATCCAATTCTCTTTATTTTTGTGTCATATTACTCGAGTTCTAGATGTAATAAAATTGGAATTGCCATACGCGTTATGGAAATTTCATAAAAATTGAAAATAATCATTAATAAAAATAATTCTTATTATTTTTATAAAAATTAAAAAGACTTTTTTACTTGGCTCAAAATTAACGATTTAAGCAATAATAATATTACAATTATTATAATCGCGTAATTATCTTTCAAGAAATAACAGTATGGCGAAACACCAAGTGTTATCAAGTGTGTTGCTATAATTTATGACGCAAAGAACGGAGATTAATGTGTCTGCATTCTAATGTATATTAATCCATCCTTGTATATAATGAATGTGCATTTTCGTTGCGATGTAGAAATTCAACGAAATACTGAAGAATTGCAAGTGGGAAGCTTGCCAATTTCTTATACACTGCAGAAAAATAACGAACTACTGAACAATCTAAGAAAGACGTAATAACATTTTATTTGTAGATAAATTTTGCGATCTAGTCATTTCTCTTCTTTCTTTTTCTTCTTTGAAAAATATTCGAAACCTAAGTTTTCTCTCACTAATTTCTCAATATTATTATTTAACATTTCGACAGTAAAACATCTCTAATTAAATTGACGCTGATAAAGAAATCGAAACTATCGAAGAATAACGTAAAGAGGGAAACAAATAAAAAAAAAGACATATGAGCATTACATTCGATATCTTCGATTCAAAATGTACTGGTTTTTGAATAGTTACGTAATCCGCGAAATTTCGAATTGTCAAGAATGATACCCGGGTTCACCGTGAAAAGGAGTGAGAGATTAATGTCCCGAGTTCAAAATCTTCGGCGTAACTTTTACGTTACAGCGTGTACGTTCCATGAGAAGGAAAACACGAGTAGCCCTGCTCTTAAATCAGAGGCGACAGTACGACCTGAAATCCTCGTTATCCTCCGCTCACAGAGTTGCGCGACAAGAAATGTCCCGCGTCCTACTCCGATTCCGCGATAGGATTCTTGGATCCGGATTTGGCGGCACCGAAGATGCACTGTGTCGGCCACTATAATAGGGTGGCAAGAAGCGCGGTGGAAGCCACGGAGGGAANNAAGAGCGGGTACGGGAGGGTTGCGGGGGCATATTACCGATGCAGAGGATGTCGCCGAGATGTGCGCGCGCATCCCGAGCTCATTTCCATAACGGGTTAGGTACATATTACCATCGTACGTATGTACGCATCTATATATATGCGCGCGCTCGAGTTACGAATAGATGCATCACTCGGCGAATGCATCTTGCTAAGGTTACCTGCCATTCGGCACGGTTTGGCCTCGACGGAAGCCTCTCGAAATCTAATGATACGTTGCGTATTAATCTTGCGGGAATCACCGGTCATTGTGAAGTAGCTCGGCGAGATACTACGATGCCGAGTCATATGAAAGCAATATTGCAGATCTCGGAGGGCTGACAAAAGCCGTAGAGCAGCGGCACAATTTTTATATATTAATCCTCCGCGAATTTTCGTTATAGCTTCTGATTTTACGCGAATCATTTATCTTATCGTATAAAATCGATTTTTGAACACATCAAATTTAATTCTTTGTAGAAAGATCGGTTTGATAAACGTAATATATGCGAAATTATATCCGTTGTTGGAAAAATATGAATTATACTCTTTTGACAGGAAAACGATATTTATTTTAATTGCTTTCATATAATATAAATGACAGAAAAAACGTTATCAGATATTAGACATTATGAATTATTGTAGTATGCACAGTGTGGTATGATGTTAAAAACAGTCTGATAGGAGTTTTGATAGGATCGCATTAAATGGGCGTATCTCACGAATGGCTAAATTGTCGAATTGTCCGTTTGTCAAGTGGTTAAATCGTTCAGTTAGATAATATCGCCGAACGGGAACAAATTGACAAACATGTTACGTCGGACAAAAAAACGCGCTCACCGAAACGTCGGGAATATTGCCGCGGGAACTGAGAGAAATCAACAAAAAATTGGTAATGCGAAACACTGGAAAAAGCCGAGGGAAAAATCGGAGGCCTACACGAGTGGCATTATGTAAAACACGATGGCGAGTAACGTCGAACTTTTCTCGTACTAATAAAATGTAAAACGTCCCGCTGGAGCGCTCGCGGGGCGCTCCGCGGTCGGGCGGACCGGCGAAAAAAATATGCTTATCAACCTTTGATAAAACAGCCGTGTGTTGCATAATTCACGCGCTAATTTATGCGGCGACCGTACACCCTCGTACATATCGTTAGAGGAAGGCAACCCTCCTCCCCCACTGCGTTATTCCGCATCGGCGAACATCGCCCTGTTCAATCGTCCGACGCGGGATCGCGGGCTGGGAGTACTTTCCAATTCGGCGATTATTTGGATGGGTTCCCGGGTCAAAGGTTTCGTTTGTTTGCTTGCCCGTTTAGCCCGCCGGAGCCTTCGTAATCGCGTGTTTGCCGAGGGAGCCGGCGGACATGTAACCCCGGACACCTCTTGATTGGCAAACATGCATATTTTATCCGCGGCGACGCTCTCGCGCTCAGATAACGCGCGCTGCCCGTATCAATTATTCGTCTCCTCTCTCTTCTCGTCTCCCCTCCCCTTCTCTTCCTTCTCCGTCTGTCTCTTTCTTCTCCCCTTTCCTCCCCCATTTCGAAATTTGATGCGGCTTTCTCTCTCTCTAATGGGAACGAGGTTTTAATTGAAATGTAATCCCAATTAAAACGAATCCGCAATCCTCGACGCACGAGTGCGTGTAATCATGTTAGCGAAATGAAATGTCCACTCGAGCACGAGTACGTTGCCGAGAGAGCGAGCAGTTTTGCGAACGGTAATCGTACTGTCCTATTCTTTTTTTGGAGAGTGTGAATATGTATTTTTTTCATGGATATGGATATATCATTATCGCATTTATGACACGCTCTTACTTCGGATTCTGCAATAAAACAACTGACTATTGATTCCCTCAACGTGTTATATGCTACACATCTAAATAAAAGTGCATAGAATCGATATAAAAATCTAAAAACGAGTCTGAAGAAATATTATTGGTATATAAAAGAAATATATAAAATAGATTTAAAAAATTGTGTATTATCAGAATATTGTTTAGTGAAATAATAAAAAAAGTAAACTTTTTTTATATTTTATAAATTTAGTTACTGTAATCGAAGTCGCACGGAGATCTTTCTATTGGATAATATATATATGACTTACGCGGTTTTTATTCACTTTCTCAATATATTTATTCAGTTTCTTTATCCATAACGGCTTATCATTCTATGCAATTCAAATATACAGTCTTATATCTGGCATGTGACTCGCACTGTGTATATACAATAATTTTCTCAAAACATCACGTAACAATATTACACACGCGCCCTTAATCCATAAATATATTCCTTTTTCTGTTTCTAAACGAGACTTATACGTAGGATTTGCATTTTATCGACGCGCCACGCGATATCTTCATTCAGGCTATGCGTATTCATCCGCTGCAAGTTCTAATCGATCTCTGTATCTTGATCCAGTAGAAAAACGCTACTCATCCATATATGTTGCAACGTATGCTTTGGTAAATATCGAAAAACACTTTACGTCGAGAAGCTTAAATAACATTATGAACTGAATTACGCTGCCCGTATCAATTATTCGTCTCCTCTCTCTTCTCGTCTCCCCTCCCCTCCTCTTCCCTTCTCCGTCTGTCTCTTTCTTCTCCCCTTTTCTCCCCCATTTCGAAATTTGATGCGGCTTTCTCTCTCTCTAATGGGAACGAGGTTTTAATTGAAATGTAATCCCAATTAAAACGAATCCGCAATCCTCGACGCACGAGTGCGTGTAATCATGTTAGCGAAATGAAATGTCCACTCGAGCACGAGTACGTTGCCGAGAGAGCGAGCAGTTTTGCGAACGGTAATCGTACTGTCCTATTCTTTTTTTGGAGAGTGTGAATATGTATTTTTTTCATGGATATGGATATATCATTATCGCATTTATGACACGCTCTTACTTCGGATTCTGCAATAAAACAACTGACTATTGATTCCCTCAACGTGTTATATGCTACACATCTAAATAAAAGTGCATAGAATCGATATAAAAATCTAAAAACGAGTCTGAAGAAATATTATTGGTATATAAAAGAAATATATAAAATAGATTTAAAAAATTGTGTACTATCAGAATATTGTTTAGTGAAATAATAAAAAAAGTAAACTTTTTTTATATTTTATAAATTTAGTTACTGTAATCGAAGTCGCACGGAGATCTTTCTATTGGATAATATATATATGACTTACGCGGTTTTTATTCACTTTCTCAATATATTTATTCAGTTTCTTTATCCATAACGGCTTATCATTCTATGCAATTCAAATATACAGTCTTATATCTGGCATGTGACTCGCACTGTGTATATACAATAATTTTCTCAAAACATCACGTAACAATATTACACACGCGCCCTTAATCCATAAATATATTCCTTTTTCTGTTTCTAAACGAGACTTATACGTAGGATTTGCATTTTATCGACGCGCCACGCGATATCTTCATTCAGGCTATGCGTATTCATCCGCTGCAAGTTCTAATCGATCTCTGTATCTTGATCCAGTAGAAAAACGCTACTCATCCATATATGTTGCAACGTATGCTTTGGTAAATATCGAAAAACACTTTACGTCGAGAAGCTTAAATAACATTATGAACTGAATTAAGTGTACATATTGTCGAGCAGTTTTATTTCCGGTTAAAATTTTAACAAAGTGAACCTAATTTCTCCGGATGCGCAATGAGAGTGCAGAATATTGACAGATGCTGACAGTTCGTAACAATAGCAATAGTATTAACGGTGCGGTTGTATCCACTAATTTACTCGGTAGCATTATTAACTATTTTCTTATTTAAGCTATTTAAACGTGCCGTCGCTTTTCTTTTCCAGCACTTTTACGAATACTTTCCATATTTCACAGGCATCTGAAACTACTTTCGGATTTCGTGAATTCAATCGTACGATGTGATAACCAAATGGTGATAACTGAAGTTTAAACCATAATTTTTATGAACTTAAGTTTAGGTATATAACGTATTCTGTTGTATACCACTGAAAAGACATATTTAAGTACTCGATATAATTTATATGGTATGCGTTAATAAATCAAATGAAATATATATATTATTATGTAAGAAAAAATTAATTACAATATCAAAACAAACTTCTATAAATTCTGTTTTTTTTTGCTGGAAGTTTTTTTTATCAATAATTTCATACATTTTTTCTTTATCAATAATTTTCTTATATTGTAATTGACAAGTATTATTCGGTAAATGAACGTGGAAAATGTATGAGCTTTCGTACAAGATGTATATCTTTGAAAAATTGATATCGAGTGAGTTTGAAGATTATATGTGCGATTTTCAGGTTCTCTGATTAATAATGCATGTATAAATTGCCATTAAAGATGAATTTAATTTATATTTTAGTATTATTTTTTTTTAATGTAATATATAAAAGAATCTGGAATATATCTAAATTTTTTGTTAAATTATTAATTAGACAGAGAGAAAGAGTTTACTAAAAGAATATATACTTAATTTAACAATTGAATTATATAAATATTTTATGTTAATATGTTAACATCTTGTATGTTATCGTTCTCTAAACTATCACAGATGATTGAAATATTCTAGTAGGCTAATCATAAGCTGTGATGACCAGATGCGTTGATGCGTAAATTGTATGAAAAGAAATTAATTACAATGATATTTTTTTGCATACTGTAAGTTACAGAAGCATCTTTCTTATATTCAAGTAGGCTTTTAAGCGAATAATTAAATATATCGATAAGAAACGTTCAAATCGTTGCGGTAAAATAGAGAACCGTCTCGTGCGAGTCCCTTAATGCGATTAACTTTGTTATATATATAGAATTGAAGCCATTTTTGTGAGCAAGGATTTAAACTCGTAGTAACAAGTTCACGCGTTTAAACTGCAGTTTGTTTAAGCAATCTGATTTTTAATATCGCGCGCGATAATATGAATATTTCTTATTAGAAACATCTAAAAATACTACTTTTATACTTTTTTTTATAAAAAGATCCTGAAAAGAAAAGAGAGAGAGAGATAGAGTGAATCTTGTCAAGTCATTTATGTAACATATAGTCAATAGTTGAAATTATACAATATATATATACATTACAATCTCTCCATCTCCTTTACATCTAATTTATATTGCATAATTTGCTTAAAACTATATGGAATTATATAATAAATTTGCCCAAACATACGAACTAAAAAATAAAGCTTTACATTGATAATTTATAAATTTACGTCGTATATTGTTTTTTCAAAATAATTCATACTATAGATTTTTATTCTTTTGCCTAGCAGTAATACAATTAAGATGTATGAGAAAGACATCTCGTAAAATTCTCTTAATTAAGCATTAATCTAAGCTTTGAGAATATCGCGATCGGTTTGGAAGGCATATCTCGTAGGAAATTTTGACATAGTTCAAAACTGGAGGGAATCGGAGGCATTTAATTATAAATTTAACGATTGTATTATGCGAGCGTTGCAAGTGCTGTAATATTTCTTTCGGACTTTTTTTAAACAACAGCTTGAATGAATACGATTATTCGAATATTTGTGAAGCGCACATTAATGATGAAATAAAGGATCGAAAGCGAGAGACACGTGTGGCCGAATATTGGGATTGAATTTATCATTAATCTGCTTTACCCGAATTTGCTATTTCGTAATCGCGTCAATAACGCACGACGTATTATTTCAGCAATATTCCCAAATTTAATTGCATTCATGGAGATATTATTTTGCATTTGCCGCGATTATGATATAACGCGCGCGCGCAGTCTCTGCGTATTAATTTTTATATTATTACCGATTATTGATTTTCGCCACGCCTGATTTTTTTCAAAACAAATTTGTGTGCTGTTTAAAAAAAAATGAAAATTTATTCGTAATTCGGAATTATAACCCGATCGAGCACTGAAAAACTTACACGACCTTACTTTATTTAATCATTATCTTAAAAATACGTTACGACTAATCAAGCTTATATTATTAAATTTGTTTAACGGTGTCGGACATTACGATTTAGGAATGCTTAGGCGACAATTTTTTTAGGCCCACTTTGTTAAATTCGGAAAATCGATACGCGACTCACTGAAATGCATCGGGTATGCTTCGTTTTGCGTAAAGTATATAAGAATGTATCGAAACACGATTGACTAACGAACATAGACATTCCTTTTCGTAATAGCGTACCAGCTCACATATAAACTTTCGCGTCGGTCGAAAGCTTTACTGCTTCGACAAATCACTAAGCACTACGATTTTTTCAATTGATCGAAATCGGAGCTCTTCGGCGAATATAGACCCAACTTCAGTGTCAATTCTTTAGGTTTTCTCGTGTTATTTCTAACGGGAAATGGACTAAAGTGTGTCTTCGGACTCGGAGTAGTATCAACGTTCTCGTCTTTATTCACGTTTTCCTCCATGTTACCGAGGCTCAACGTCGACTTCTTGTAACTATTCGATCCTTGACTCGTTAAATCTCCATACTTGCTGACATTTATTTTGCTCGGGGATTCCGGATGCGAGACAGGCCTTTTCGCTTCATTTGCCAGACTTGGTGATAATTGCGGGGTATAATGATTTGGTCTTGAAGAGAAATATTGATCTCTGTATTGACGACTCGGCGATAACACATTATAGTCGCGATGTCTTGTTGACAGATATGAACCGATATCCGGCTCTGTCTCTACCATAACATGTGGCAACGTGCCTAATGGTTTATCATAGTCCGTGTTTCTGATGTAAGAATATTCTTTTGGCGACAAGGTACTGTACTTATGACGTAGAAAATCCGACTTATCGCTAGAATAGTCCTCGATATCCAAGCATTTTTTCTCCTTGTTGATAGATTTCGACGGCGTAAGCGCTTTATTATTACCTTTACCGTAATAAGAACTTGTTGCGTTTAAGGAAAATGTCGGTTTATCATCCTGAACGGTTGCATATTCACCGCCAATCGGCTTCGGCGACTCATCGTCATATCTTACGCGAAACTCTAAAGATTCTTTGGATAATATCGGGCTCTTCAGATGCAGATCGTAGGGATCGATAGCGATTCTTGGCTTGAGATCCATATACTCGAACGAATCATCTGGTTTATCGTACGCGATATAAGGATTGTCCCGCGGCGACGGCTTGCTCGGGAAGTCGAAACTCTTGTAAGGCTCGTAAGTCTTCTTGAGCAACGTAGTATCGAACGGGCTTATTTTTGACGCGTATCTCGTCGCGGGCGGTATTTCCGGATAAGGTAAAGTGTCAGAAATATACGTAATGGGTGACAATCGTTTCGGCGATATTTTCAGAGGCGTTTCCGGCAGCATCTGCGCGGTAGAGATCTTGTTGAGCTTTTCCAGTTCTATGTAGATGTCTATGTCGCTTCTGGGCGATATGCTTTTTTCGTATTTCAATGTCGCGAACGGGAATTTTTCCGACTGTATCGCAGCTTCGTGCACTGATTCCAAGTCGCTCCTGGTCTCGATGGAATCGTTAGAGGATTTATAAGAAAATACGTTCGTTGAAATGCTGGTGAGATCGAGGCTCTCCATCTCGCTTATGTTCTGGCTAGAGGAGCCTTTCTCCAAATTAATCATGCTCGGTGGAGACTCATCTTCATAGTTTGCAAGCAGTTTAGAGAGTTCCTCGTTTATCTTATGATCTATGAGCGCCTCTCGCGTGTTCAAATAGTCGTGCGATATGATCTCGTCTACGGCCAGATGATCGATTTGTTCCGTCTCGTCAATGAGAGAAAGTTTTGATAATTCTTCATTGATCTTCGCGTCGAACTCCGATACGCTGGTGGCGCTCATGTTGTCGAAGTCTTTGAAATTTATCCGTGCCAATTCCTCGTTTATTTCGTGCTCGTTTAGTCCCATTTTTTCGAGAATCGGACTGAATATCTTGGAAATTTCCTCATTTATCGGACTGATGGTAATCTCCTTGGATATCTCCTCCAGATCTGGTAGACGTTTTTTCGCCTGGCAAGCCAGTATCTTGTGCAATATCGCCGAGTTTTCTTGAATAATTTTTAACGCCCTGTCGCTGCTTCTGCGCCCGTTGTCGCCCTTCTTACGCGGCTTTACTTTCGTCCACACACCGACTTTCGATTCTCTGCCGTCATCCGTATCGCTGTTGTTTTTGTTGCATGTTATGCTCTTTAATATACTATCGCTGTTTTCGTCGATGTTGATTTTAGGATGCACTATGTAAGATTTCCTACCCTCGCTCGTTACATTTATATCCGGGATTTCTAGTCGTCGTTTCGAAAAGCCGCTCGCTGAATTGCTGAAAGTATCCTGCCGTCTCGCCTCTAAACTTTTCATATTCTCCCAGATGTCACTCGACTTCTTCGTCAGCATATTAGTATCGGACGGGCCATCGCTAAGAGCCTTTGCTTCCAGGTGCTTCATGTCTTCCAGGATATCGCTAGATCTTTTCTTTGCCATAGTCGTGTTGAATTCATCGGTCGAGATTGAAGACTTCAGATCGGTATATCTCCTCTCCAGACTGCTAGAGCTCCTCTCGGTCAGTCGCGATCGGTCTCTACGCCTGTAATTGTAATTCAGATAATGCTTGTCGAACTTCTCATACGGCAATTGAGGCACTATATCCTTTTCAGAGAGCGGATCGTCCGTATTGTCATCAACGTAATCTCCGCACTTGCGATGCGACTCGCCGTCGATCGATTCGTAAGAGCTCAAATCAGCTTTGCTCTTCTCCCTCGACGTGTAACTCGCGTTCAACTCTGTGTTCAAGCCGAATTGCGATCTAACAAACAGATCGTTTCTCTCGGAGACTCTCTCGGAAATCTCGCTTCCTTTAGTTTCGATTGATTTTGTCGAGATATCTACTTTCGTTTGATATCCAGAGAACTTGCCCGAATCCTTCGAGTTGATCGATTTCTGATCAGGCGACGTTTCGGCGCTGTCTTCGCTGCATCTTTGTTTGCTTGCACCGTACGGCGACGGTGTTTTCTGATTAGGATTCGCGATAGGATAAAATGGCGAAGTAGCGGTGCTCAAATCGAGTGGCGAATCCGACACGTTATCCTGGCCTTGTTTACCATAGTTTGAGGTATACTTTATGGAGTTGGCACTTACGGGCGATTGCAGATCGGAACTGAATGATCTCTCGGAAGACTTAATTTTGCTCGGGCTGCACGAATCGCTGGAGCTGCTAATGACCAATTTCGGGCTCGTCTCGGACTTGTTTCTCAGAGAATCCGTACTAATTGGAGTTGACGGGCTCGATTTTTCGTACGACATTTTCTTCGTGATCGGTCTCGGATTGTCGTGCACGATATCCGAGTCCATAGAATGGAGAACGAGAGTCTTAGAATCTGAGCTGATGGACGAACAAGCCGATTTGTCTATCGTGAAGTCACGAGAATCCGATCTGATTGGTGTTCTCGGACTCACTGTCAGACTCGAAGGCTTCGAATCGGGACCCATTGTCTCTCCAGAGCTAAACGACTTCGTGCTCTCCGGAGATTTCGAGCTTTTCTTCAAGTCAGAATACGATTTCATTTGCTGTTTGTCGCTAAAAGCATCTTTCTTTAAAGCCATTTCAGAACTTGTCAGATTTCCCGAGTTTACCGCAACATTATATACCTCAGGTGATAATTTCGTTAGTTTGTCATCCATCGTCATCGGAGAAATTGGAAGATGACCTACAACATATCTCTTGGAATAAAAAGATCGTGACTCTGTCGCGACATCCAAAATTCTGTTACTCGCAATATCCGTATCGTTTGAATTGTTATTGCTTTTAGAATCAGGATAAACTCTGCTGGAAAATTTTAAGGTGGAATCGAAAGGTTTGTCGTTAGTGTCTAAAGGCGCGATAAATTTATCGTAATTTCTATCCAAAGAGATACTTGTTTGTTCTTTGGAATTATCTCGCAATATATTCGCAGTGAATTCCATTATGTCCGTCTTAAGGCCTGTATCACTGCTAGTCTGAACAATTTCTTTTTTTTCCTCTACATCTTTCAGTCGATCCGTTTTGTGCATTAGAATATCATCCATCTTCTTCTCGACGAGATTAGATTGGAGATTTAAATAATCGTAATTATTTATAGTCTTTGACGACGAACTCGTCACATCCTCGCTCGGCGTATAATCGATGAAATCCTGCGACTTAGATTCCGTTTTTCTCGCCTCTGATTTCTTGATCGAATAATCGCTCGTCAACAATAGCTCGTCGTTATCGCGCACACTTAATATCTGAGGAACTGTCGTGTTATTGTCATCCTCCGCCGAGAGTCTTCGTATTTGATCGGTGATCTTGGCGATCGAAATTTCAGTTAAGGACGGGGATTTATCGTTACATTCGGTTCCGAGAATCGGATCCGTCTGTGATTCCTCGATCATCACCGTTGACTCGCTCCTAATATACGAACGCGCAGGTGTGCTCGCCGAGGTCGATGAACCTTTGATGCAAGCATGCTTTTCGTCATCCGTAGCCATGACGTAAGAGTCGGACGCTGACGTAAGCTCCTCGCTATCGACGTCGCTCAGACGATCCGGTTCGTCGCACAATTCCGTTGACGTGCTGTCACTATCGCTGTCAGCAGTACCCCGGCTGGGCGATGTCACAGATGACGTTTCTGGAGGCGACTGTAAAAATGCTGTACCAAAGGCATCGACATCTGTAACATAAAATAGAGAATATCAATAAATTGTTTACAATGATATTAAAATCACAATTAATTTCAAAAACGAAGATAGCAATTAACAAATGACAGTTACATCACAAATAAAAATTATTAATCAACAGGGATAAATAACGTTCTAGAAATAATATATTTGTTATAATTTATATATATTAATGTTGATGACGACTTGGCAAGAGAAAGCACAGAACTGGTTGTTGACCCTATCTGCCACACCTGCATCAATACTAATACTTGCTAATATCGAACGTGAAACAGGTGATTGATTGTATAGGGAATTGGAGGTTCGACGGTAGATAAGCGGTGCGATATGATGAGTCTTACTATTGGTAGATAGCAGTTCTACCTTACTTTCTGTTGGTCACACTTGCCATGAGTAGGTATAGGAAATGATATCGTAGGTTCAATATATATAAGTAATTATTCTCAATATTGTGATATTTATAATATATAGTTGAAATTCTGTCCTTATTTTCATAAACTGAAATTTATTTAAATTCAAATACGTTTATTTAATTATTAAAGGCGCATTTTTGCTATTATTGATTTTTTTATAACATCCTTTCTATAATATTAATCATACGTAAGTTTTTTGAAAATTTAATCTTTTAGTCATTATTTATAATTATTTATCTGTTTATATTACATTATATCTTAGATATTATGTAAATTCTTTCTATGCATATTCAAGAAGTAGCTCGCATTATATTTTATATACATATCGTTTTCATGCCAACAATATTTTTACGATATTTTCAAATCTCACTATCTTTCGTTTTTTGAAAACTACTTTTTATGATCTTTTACCCAATGATTTTTCGACTATTAATTGCACTCACCACCAGAGTCGCCGGCCCTTTGTTTCGGCCTTTTTGCATCCTTCCAATGAAGCGTAACACCTTGTCTCTCCCTACGATTTTTTGGGCTATGAAGAGCCGTCGGTCGTAACTTCGATGTGGCAGTGGCAGACGGCAGGCTCAACGGTCGATTCTTTCCACTTACGAGGGCATTTTTGCCCACTAATAGATGATTCATGGCTGTAGAAGCGGGCGCAGATACCATAGTCTGTCTTGCACACGCGGCTGCGTCAGAATATAAGAAATTGGTTAGAATATAGGTAGTGCATATTTTGCTATCAGACGTGTGATTGAAATATAATCTTAATAATATCAAAATATTTTTGAACTATAAATACGTTTTGTATCTTTTTCGTTACACAAGATGACATTTTTGGCATTTTATTTCGATATCATATTTTCTTTTAACTGCTATATCGATTTTAAAAGAAGATATTATGCGATATTAGAGAACTTATAGAATATATGTTATTTCTTATATTTTCATTATAAAATATAATTCAGTATTTTTTAATAGTTATATCTTTCTATCATAGTGTTAGGATTAAAAAATAATTATAACGTTATATACAAAAATATTATCAATTTTCATAAGTCTTTTTACAATATATTATCTTATTTAAATATATTTTGTCTTATTTAAATATATTTTTTAAACATATTTTCAATCGATCTATTTTTCAATTTTATTTTAAAACATTTCATCTTGTGTGCTTTGTACGAAAACTTCAATTTTGCTTCAAAGTTTATCAATATATACCAATTAAAAATTATTGATCATATAAAAATTTAATTCGCTCGTTAAACAGTTGTACAAAGTGGTTACTTCAAGTTGAAGCGAGACAAGTAAGAGTGCAAACCACGCTATCTTCGTGATAGGTCAAAATATCTCGAAAGGTCAAGACGTTGTTATCGTATATTCTCATCCGGATGGAAATATGATGATAGTATCCAACCGTAAACGCGCGCGAACATGAGTTCGGTTTCATTCATGAATATGGAATGACTAAGCTACGGTGGCAAGTAGAACGGTAGTAAGCACCGTAATGTATCGTGCTGCTCATAAAGCTTTTATAATATGTATCGTCAAACCTACGTACGCGGTTGTTTCGATCGCAAGATATAACGCGAGAAACGCGCAATTTAATTTTCGCCAACGCTATATTCCGATAATTTCAAATAATATTGACAATAAAGAAATTGTTGTGATTTGTTGCTAATATAATATATACATGCATATTGCATGTTGTGCATAGATCATTGAATATGATTAGTTTGTAACAATACGTTTATGCTTTTACGTACGATTAAACTTAAAGCAATGCATAATTTTTACTATAAATTAAGAAAAATTACACAATTTCAAAACTATGTTATTCGCACATTTTTTAATCTTTTGAAATATTTAAATCTCGTTTAATTTTTATTTAACGTTTATCTTATTACCAGAGAGTATTATGTGTGCCTGTCGCTGCCGTTCTCGCAGTTTTGCATATTGCTGCTTCAATGTACTAATATCGAGAGCAAGGCGGTCTCGATCACTGCTGGGTGCAATCGCTTGTAATGCTCCTATTGTCGAAGGTATACGATCTGGAATTGATTATTTCTTTTAACGAGCAATAGATATTTCATAATGTGATATTTTAATCTTCCGTATTTTTTCTTGTGCGAAATATGCTTGATCGCAATCTAAAACAATAACTGCATTAATTTATTCAAGATAACATTTACAGGACACTCCGTAATTTAATTTTAGCATATTATTCTCCAAAGTAATGAAATTTTTTTTTCTTCAGAAATTAGAGCTAGAAAAACTATACTTTTAAATACATGTACAAAAAAATTATATAATATCCTATGTTAAAATATATACGAAAATTTAGGAAACTGAATTCAATGTATCCAGCTATAGTACTGTGGTGATTCTAGATAAAATAGCTAGTATGGCTATAAAAGCGATGAACATGACGCTGTTGTGTTTTTGATTTTAACATCGATGAAGCATCTACGGAATTTATAAACAATAAACACCTTTTTTTATACGTTGGGCCATGTTGAACATGGCAGCCGTTACAGCCACTCTCTCATCCTCTTCCGCCTCGCTGTCATCGTCGTCACTCAGCCTGCGCGCCCATGGGGTGATGTTGTATCGATGTTTATCTCTTAAATTTGCCACACCTTGCAAAGGTCCCATGCTAACGATGTTCTGTCGAAACAATTCACAAACAAATTATATTATTTACAAAATATTCGATATAATATACAACGTAATTGTTAATGGATAATATAATCACAAAAGCAAGAAAAGCTTTTTAAATGATGCGCAATTTTTCGTACTAGATAATATTGTCATTATTAAATGCTATGTGAACGACTGCATTGCACCTTTATAAGGTTGTTTGTGTCGGTGAATTCTAACATCTCTCTTGTAAGTACTCCCATTATGCTGTAGAATTCATCCGCTGATGTTACGGCCATTATGCGACTGCAGGAACAATCGGTTATTTTATTTATCCATCGAATATAATCATTCAAGAAGTAACAGATTCGTGATTTTTGTAACGTATAATTTTGGTGATCGATTTAATTCGAATTTTAAACTTACTTTGAAAGGCCTTCCCAGATAGCGAGCGCCGTTCTAAGGAGCACTTCGTTACCTTCGAGAAATATCAGATCCCAGACACGAAGCACTGCTTCCTGCGGTAAGCAGTGGCAGAAAAGCGTAAGAAACCATTGCATAGTGAACACATTCGTGAGCGGCGGTTCATAGCTATTTCCTGAAAAGCAAGATTATCTACCATTTATAACAATTAAGAAAAGTAAGATAACAGCAATAAAGTCAAATTAAATTAAATTATTTCGAGATTCTTGCCATTGCAATAAATTATAACTTTTATGATCTAACGGAATTTTGTTAGATATATATGTTTCACACAAATAGTATTTGTAAAACAAGCGTTAATTAATTATTTTAAATTGAAGACATTTTGAAAATCTCTTCGTGAATATCCTGGATATATTTTATATAAAGAAAAAAAAAATTCAGTTTAAATTAAGTTACAACATCTTATCCATAGACTAATATAAGAAATAAAAATTTGTTATTACAATATCACACACAAGCGCTATACAAACTTTCTATCAAGAGAGTGAAAGCATTTCACACGTCGGATACTCGTTCAACGGAGTTTATTTGTATTTCAATCTTTTCGGCAATACTAACATAATATATCTCGCAGCGACATGTCTTTGTATTTTCTGCGCTTATTCGCATAGAGAATTTTGTCTCTCTATGTTTTATCAACCCGACTCACCCGTTGCCTTATCTTTCGCGTCGCTCTGGAGTGCCTCGAGATGCTTGGACAACTTTGGCAGCCTCGAGCGCAGAAGATCACGAAATACCGCCATGTCCACAGAGAGACCGCGCAGATTATCGGCGAAATAGCCCTCCGGTAGAACTCCTTCTATCAGATATATCATCACCTTCACGGCCGAGGATTCGGCGCGGTCCATCACTTGCAGGACGAGGGCGGCCAAAACGTTTAGACCCTGGCAATAGCCCACGGATTTGTTCCAACGGGCGAAACCAAGCAGAACTCGACGAAGCACCGCTTGATTGTCCCGACCGGCGGCGCCGCAGAACAGGCTGCAGCCTGTCCTGTGCAGATCCTGCGAATCGTAATGTCTTTAACGCCGACGAATTAGCTGAAGATGATCGCTTTGGTACTTCGAGTCTTGTCAAATGAGCAGCAGAAATCAGTGTAATTTCTCAGCGAGGTTAATTTTCCATAATTTATTAGGCTTTTGATTAAATTTTCATAATGCGTGTTTGTGAATGAATAAATAATTAATCTATCAGATCGTTGGTCTGATAAAACGAATAAACAAGACTCGAAATGCGAGCGGCAACGAAAATTTTGGCTAAAAATAACGTAGACGAACATTAATTACAAAAGCAACCGGAGATATTTACTCATTATAGTGATGAACAATCCGGGCTATATTGACGTAATTAATAATAATTAAAGCATCGGTCATTCTATAAATGTACACAAGTTGATATAATCCGACGCGATATCAAATTGCACAAGTATTTTTAGAACGGTGACTCACTTTAATTATGCACAGTATTCACGTTGATTCTAATTGCGTAATGCAGTAATCAATTTTTAGCTTTCTACATTTTATTTCCTTTATACATCGATTGAAATATTTTTGCGCTACAGAGTTATGTTTGTAGAGCTCGATGTCTCATGCCAAGAATTGTATATAAGAGGCATCTCGAAGTTAATGGCCCGCTATCTCAGTAAATACGCTGAGATGCGCGTTCAAAGATACTCTCGCAGAATTAATCAGGTCGCCGTCATTTCGAAGATGGCATGACAAACTGAGCATGTCTGTCAAACAATATTATCAAAAGACAAAATACCGTTTTTCTACTCAATCCACAGTATTTGCATAACCGAGTTTCTTTTTCGTTAATTTGAATAATCGTTGAAAAATCTTAAAAATGGAATGAAAAATGCAAGTGTTATATTGGCCCAATACTCACACAACTAACATTGACGTTCGTCAAAATATTGCAAAAGTAGAGGACTTTCTTGCATTCTAACAGAGGTAATCATTTAGGTCGAAGTTTCTACGCAAATACGCCAACGCGTCCGGCGCACTTAGACAATATCTTATCGACTATGTACCTTCACGATTTGTATGCCGAGCTCTTCGTCGTCAGGATTACTCCACTCATTGAAACAGATCTTCTCAGCCTGCTTCCAATCTACGCCGTGTTTTTCCAGATGACGTTCCGCCAACGTCAACCATAACTATAAAAAGATTCTAATTTATTTTTTTATCTATTTTTAGCAACAGGTACTTTAAATCTTTACGCGTGCTTTTAGAAATTATTATTTTTATATAGAAGTAAATTACTCACCCTTTTCCGAAATTCTGGTGGTATCCCCCCCTGTAACTTGGCAACCATTTTCATGGCGTCTAGCCATTGCGTAATTTCCCCTGGTTGCGGACTCAAACTGAACCTCATTTTCGTATCTTCGACTGAAAAATTGAGAGAGAAATCTGTAATACATTTTTTTCTCTGGTATTATATAATAATCTATTATTAGAACTTAACAATACGCATATACATATATACACAATGTTTTTGAATTACTTTTTTGCACTAACAATAAGCCATCGGCATATTTTGTAGAGAAAATATTACCTTACATCGTACAACGCAAAAGCAAAAAAAAGCGGTTGCTTATTTAAATCAAAGCTAAAAAATTCTTTAATCACAATAAACTCGTGAATTATTTTCTAGCGTCTGGTTCGGATAATTTGAATATTTTATTGTCGAAATTATAATGACTATTACCGTCCCGTTCAATTGAATACGAACGACTGACGAAGTCGCGAAGCGAAGCAAGCTCGATCGCCTTTAACATTTAATAGAAGGGTCGTCGCATAATCGTTTCCATGACAACCACGGTTGAAGGATTGTCGGGATAGTTTGAGTAGAAATAATTCTGTAGAAATTCGCAGGATACTAGAGTTATTCATGCGTTCATATTGCGGCAAAACTCCACGTGTTGGCGGAACATATATCGAAAGTATTCAATTTCCATGCGGATGGATCAGTGCAATATTGCTTATTGTCATCTCGCAGTGTTTTACAAACGAACGAGCGCGGCTTGATTACGATGGAATTCTATTAATGGTTGAATAAACTACGCCAGATATACGCGCTGAAGTATGAAATCAATATAATTTCTGCTATTGTAACAATTTGTATTTTCTATTGTATTATTATTTTTCTTTTTTGATGCAATATCAAAAGTATTTCGTGAGAATTTTTAGATTGTTATGTATATTATTTTATATTTTTTATTGCTTTATTTATTGCTCCACCACAAATTTCTGCATTTCTAGAAATTGCACAAAATAAAAATAAAAATATTTGCTTTGCGTTACTATAATAAAATAAATAGATGTTTTTCTACCCTTTGTACAAACTTTACTTAAAATGTTTACTATACAACATTGAGTCAAATGTATGCTGTTTGGAATTTATGATTGAAGTGGCTTACAAATTATAGGTAAAGACATGGTTACACTGCTATAAATTTTACTACCACTATGAAATAGCATCGGAATACAAAGCGCAACGAGTTAGTCACAAATTAAATTGTGCCATGCACTAAATTTTACAGATACTCTAGCGTTGACAAACATATAACGTTCTAACTTGAAATACGAATTGTGCCCAGTATGGAAATTGCGACAAATACATATGTTGCAGTAGTTTATTTTGATAATCTTGTCTACGAATAAATAGATTTGCTTCACGATAATTCATACGCATACTTATGTACATATAAAATCTCGATTGTACATAGACAAATAATATCTATAATTAATTAATATTTATAATAAAGACATGATTTTATCTTGTAAGTATTTTAACTAAATACTTTAATTAAACAAAAATTTTCGTTTACGCAATACACTTCTTTATCTTTTTTTATTTTGAATTTTCACATAAAGTTATTATACTTTTAGATTTCCTTAACAACAATGAGAAAAGTAAGGCTCTTGAAATTATTTTATACTTTATGTTATAGTACACTTGGAAATAAAAAGATTAATATCTATAGCTGAAAGCCAAGCAGGCTAAGCTACATGATACTCTTTATAGTATATTAAGTTAATGCTATTAATGTTATAGCATGTATCGGATGTGATGTAGTTTATGCTCTTACAGCAATATTTGACAGAATTTAATCTATCAACATTTAGCTCCCGAGCTAATGTGTATGTATGTGGTTTACAAAGCTAATTACGTGCTATGTACATGTATAATATGAGAAGACATTAACATGCGAGATGGATGTACAGAAACTGCCGTTTCACCTTCCAGCCCTTCGTATCTCGAGGCAGAGCCGGTAGCATACGCGGCACCGGACGCGAGGTTTTTGAGTGAGTTGAAAAATCCGTTCATTCTCCAATTAGAAGCGCCACTCTCTCTTCTTCATCTTTTCACTTTCATCTCTCCTGTCTCTTATTATATCGCACCAACGATGCTCTCAACCGTTCTCGTGATTCATGATCGGTCGTCCGTCGGTTTATTCTAGCGATATTCTTTTTATTTGTAACGTATCGCGATGCTCCTTTCGAACATGCGATATTTTTACTATAACTCTGAAAAGCCGATCGATCCGCTGACTTAATCGCGTATAGAAGTATCATATTGTATTTAGCAAAAACACATTTTTTTGACATTAAATTAATTTGATTATATGTGAATTTATATTAATATATCATTTAATATATTATTAAAGTAATTTATAAAAGAGAGAGAAGGAGGGGAGAGAGATAAATAAAAGTATTAGTTGCAATAATAATAGCAATAAGGAACAATAATAATTGCTATCTAATTTAAATGTGATTTAGTCATAATATATGATTGGTAACAATACTATCATAAACACTACATATAAGATAGAAATATTAATATATAATATATTCATCAAATTTTAATATATTATATATAATATTACATATAACGTAACATATTTTAATTATTATTGTTATCTCTTTATATCAAATAAAATTCGTTCCTTTGGATAATAGATATATTGTGGAATTATTCCTTTTCGCGTTGTTTCTATGCCGTATGTATATATCTATACCACCTGTTACAAGCATCACAATGTACTACATTACATATGCGTGAAATACATACGTCTGTAGATCGTGAGAGATTCCTTCATATAATTTCATTTTGCGTATCGAATTTGCTAATTATATATATATTGCATTAATTTTAAAATATATTTAATATACATAACACATAAAAACCTTGTGCTAGTTTGTTTGGGAAATCGAGATAACCATGATAAGAGCGGCTAAAGCCGATAACAAAATCGATTTTTACTTCACCCGCGGTTGATGAAACCGATAAAATGCTCGAGTAATTAATCCGATCGCGACTAATCGATTACAATGCAATTAAGAAGATATATGCAGCACTTAACTTGAATTTATGTTCAGTCATTTATCTTGCATTCCTTTTGCTGTGCAAAATTATCAGATACATTTTAACTGATCATCAAGTTTCGAGAAACTAGACTTCATTTACAGGAATCTGTAAGATTGAAAAAGAAAATTAAAAAGAAAATGTTGAGTTTTTGGAATCGCGATTTCTATGTCGATGAAAATAAACCGCTTGTGCGTGCAACATAAGCGGGAGAGTGAGAAGCGTGCATGCTTCAAATCAGTCACGGTTGTCGTAACTGTGATTTTACACATTAAGTGACTTCCGCTTTGATACGACCTAAATATGGATATAAAACTGATATATCTAGCAATTAAAATTTTTCATCATTGTACAAGGCCATATTTATTGATTTGAAGCAAAACGAAGCAGAAACTTTGAGAAACTTTCAATTTTATATGCTTAAGTCTACTCCGGAAAAGATGTACACTGATCGACTGCTAATTTTTTGGCGATTTCGTATTTTCTTGATGAAATGCCAGGAACTCGTGCCAATCAGTTTATATCCCACGAATATTTGACATCAATCAAAATATAATCCAAAGTCTTTATATACAAATATATGGAGCAAATTGGAAATTGAAGAAAATTTGATATTGCCTTTTAAACAGTACAAAAAAAAAACACTTGTACTAATTTTGATTGAACGATACTGTACAGAAAGAAAACAATCTTCATAAATATTAAAAATTATTATTATAGTTGTTTAATTTTATTTTCTATAGTTATTTTATGCTTTATAATATAACTTAAAAATTTTAAAGATCAGTTTTCCTGTCAAACACGATTTAATTTTGATTATTTAATATGTTTTATTTTTTTAGCTACTCTCTCTCTCTCTCTCTCTCTATCTATCTATCTATCTATCTATCTATCTATCTTTATCTCTATCTCTTTTTATTATTTTTTTCTGTTATTTTTTTGAAACCTGAATACAGATTGTTCTAGAAATTAAACGAGCAGCCTTATCGTTCCCACGAGATTAACCTAATATGCGACACACAAATTTTCCTATTAAATGCACGTATTTATGAAGTGAGCGTGATTTAAACGTGCACTCTATCGTTGTTCAAGCTGCTTCAATCGCGACTTTGGTCCATCGGTTGATCAAGACAATTGATCCACATACTTACTCGCGGCAGATGACATTAAATAAACATGGTGCTTTAACATCTTGACATAGCGAAAATAAAACGTCGTCGGATCGTACCATCTTTACCACAAGAATCGACAGCGCGCTATTAGACGATCGTCGTCGTCGATTATGTCGCACGGCACTATCTCGATATACATTGATACGCACACACTATGACGCCACGAATGCACCACGAGCGAACGACCTCAACGTGCATATCTGTCTCTCGCGCGATACGATTTTAAGAAAGCACCGGAAACGCGAACGGGCGCTTCGTGCACGCGTCTCTTAACCGGTTGGCCGCGCACTCGACAGCACACTCGATAGATCCGCAAAATTCGCGACGTCGGCGTCGCGACGACGCTCCGACAGCTGTCCCAAATATCTGGAGGAGCGTCTTTGTACGACGAATGCGTCGAGTCAGCTGAACGGCAACGGATAGACAGAGCGACATGCGCGCGCGCACAAACCTCGCGGTATTAACGACGAGACGAGGGGGTGCTTGCCACGAGGGGTGGCTGCCTACTCGTGAAATCCTGCAGCAAGCACTAACGCCGTTGTTCCACGAATCACCGTTCCAACCCCGTAGCGAGAGTGGTGCCACTCCCGTCACCACGCACGCGCTCCGCGCGATTTCTCCGCGTCGTGCATTCTTTCAACCCCGTGCATCTGATCGTTTCAAGAAGAATATGCTCGAGACTGCCTCGCTTCGATTTGGATGCGCTGAATATATCTCGGAAATTTATCGAAAAAATTTGATTCTTTTTAAATATATATATATTGCATAATGTAATTTATTTCCTTTTACAAAAAGTCTAATCTTCTAGAATGCTCATTGAATGTTTAATAAAACAAAAAGTTTTATGCTTATATAATATCTCTATGCATTTATATTTACATTTCAAAAACGTGTGTCATTTATAACTAATTTATTATTTTTTTATTCATTATATTTTACCGATTATTGATAATTGATAATATCAAAAGATAAGAATCAAATGACTTAATCTAAAAAATACGATTTTTGTTATGTTAAGAAACAGTATCATTAATTTGTTTGACAGTTTGAATAAAATATTTAAAGCATTAAAGTTCATCAAGCGCATGACGCGCTCAGTTGTCATTTTAAATGGAAAAGATTGATGTAGCATACTCGAAGTAACTAACGTATTCACAGTTATACGCCGTAATAAATATCGGCATGCGATGTAGTGGGCGATACACGGGTAATTAAATTTTTATTACACTGAATAGTTCATCCGTAAAAAGATTAATGGCTACAGGCTTCGATTAAGTGGAGCAGCGTAACGCCAGTTTATCTAATGCGTAACTTCTCACGAAGAGAGATTATTAGATCAAGCAAACATGAGGATTATATTCAAGGTTTCATGTTATTATAGAAATTTCATTATATATTCGCGCCTATATGCAAAAGCACGCATCTTTGCGATGGATTATTTCTTAAAATGTAATAACGATACAACATCGCGCATGTTAATTAAAACTGTAAAATAAACTGGGAAATGTGGTGACTTATTTATGACAAAATTAATGATTATTATAAATAAAAAATTCCTGACATACAATTAAACCTAAAAAGCATTTGTATATTTTTTTTATTTGAAATTCGTAAAATTACTAATTCGTATTTTCTTCATTTATCAATTCTTGAAAAAACAGAGTTCATTGTTAGACACAAGATAGTTTATTGATGAGAACATTCGCGGGTTAAGGATTGACGTCTTCATTGATTTCATTCCTTTATAGGTCACTCAAAATAGTTAGCATTGTTACGAGAAATCGAAGGATGTATATCTGTTGAATCGTGTATCTCTTTGATTGATATTCACATAAATGCGAATGTAATTTTTACGTTTTTAAATAGAATAAACATTATGTTTATATTCGATTTTTTCAGTAACATAATATTTTTATTTTATGACTAATATTATCGAAATACTTATGATGCGAATCATGAATTCGTAAATCGTCACGAGGAAATGATATGTTCATGACGTAGATTTAACCCAATTCGATCCGTGTAGAATGCTGAGTTTCTATTTGTTAATAACATGCAGCTGCTAACCAGTAATCAACGAAGATAAATTTCAATGGAACTAATTATAAATAAAAGCTATAATTCTACGCTTGAGATTATAATTTTTCGCTATGTAAGGAGAGAGACACATGACTTTTACGTTACATCAATTTAATTACATCTTTGCTAATTTTTTTTTTAAATGAAATTAACATAAATAATCTGAAAACTTCTAAAGAATTCATATTTTCTTTTGTATTATTTTATATCATTTCGAATTTAATTTTTTAATTTTGCTACACATTTAAAAATACAATTTTTTATTACACACGTATGTAATATATGAAACTTATTTGAATAGTCATGAACAGATACAAGCGTTACAAGCGTTACATTATGGAAAACGTGATTCAGACAATCCATAATAATCGTTTTGAACATCAGGAAATTTCCGTATAGTGTAGTTCATTACATGCTCATTTGGTACGAGAACAGAGGTGCGCTTCCGGCATTACTGGGTTAATGGCACGGAAAGAAAGTTCATACAGATAATATTTGCGCGTCGGACCGAGGTATCGAATCTATCTTATTCTATCGTATAGAAATGGTAGGTGGTTCAAAAATACGTGAGATCAATAAATCACGGACGATAGCAGAACGGCAGTAGAACGATCTAAAGAAACTGTAGTGAAGGTATCATTCGTTATAAATGATTCGTTGATGTATGGATTCGTTAAATATGATAGGAGTTAAAATGAGATACGACTTGGGTGTTTTTATTTTCTGTTTTTATCTCAAAAATCAATAATAAAACTATAAAAAGGGCAAAATAAGCACAAAATTTAAAAACAAACATAGCTTCTTATGATCGACTCAATTATAAAAAATTTATCAAAATATAGTAATTATATATTTGCAATTTGTTGATTATTATGCAGTTAATATAAATATAAACGTTCACAATTGCAATGCAATTTCAAAAAGCTCAGTAGAGAATTTTTTGTATACAACAAAAACCAAGTTGAATTGTAGGTAAATATACAAACACAGAGTACGTATTTGTGTGAAAAGTTTATGACAAAATTGTTCCTTTACGACAAAAAATGCGCCGTCTCGCGCGCATTCTTCATCTCAAAGTTCATCCTTCGAGTTCATCGCGCCGGCTGAACGCCGGGTAAGTCGTGGAAAGGACCGACACGAGAAAAGTTCCGCATATATCCTCCGCCGGCGCGAGCGCAACAGCATCGAAACTTTATCAATGACGGCCACGTCGGAACTTCGTACGCGGAGCATGCGTGCCATGCTCCGGCGGAGAGACGCGGCAAAGTCTAATTATTGATCACCGCATCGCCGCATATGAAAGCTCGTTTCTTCGCGGCAACGGCAACTTGACGCCGCGATTTTTTCGCGACACCCAGACGGATCCCCGAGAACAGTCTCGACAGCTGAGCCGGTATATATTACGCCGGATTTTTCTAGCTCACATTCTTTGCATGACACTCATCGCTGACAATAGTACGAACATAATATGATGATATAAACGCAAAAAGCGAAAGAATTTCTGTAACGTATTACGTTGCAAAGGGAAAATAGAGCTCAGATGAGAGAATAAAATACTGCTTTACAAATTAAATATCGATAATATTCTTAATCATATATTTCAAGACTAAATTGACTGTTCTCTTAATGAGAATCGCATGCCTCGTGAAAGATTATTCTGTGTTTAAGTATACTCTAAACTTTGTACTTATTTTAAAGAGTAAAGAAGCAGGGAATATTCAAGGGAAGTTTCTTTAATTTTCCACAACCTGAGGTTTGTGTGCTCTGACAATGCTTTTGTATTTTTTAACAGTTCTTATAGGATATTTCTGGTCCGAAATAGAGAGGTTCTTTTCCCCAGAAGTATTATTTATGTTACTTTATAAATTTGTAATAGCAGGCAATATATCTTTGGGAAACAACAAAGGTCTTCCAACAACTTTAAGAGAAAATGTTGCGCCGAAAATCTTCGAACCGAACGGTACTAATAATGCTATGAGTATAGACGGTTTCCTCTCTGCATAATTAAAATGTCTTACGAAACAAGAGGTGAATAATTATATAAAGAAAGATATTTTGTATCTTCTTTCGTTTACAAATATTGATGATTTTTAAGACACATTAATTTAATAATGATGGGATCGGGCAAATTAAAGATTAATATTAATAATAAATTGCTTGAATTATTCCTTAGAATTATACACACGTGACAAGAAATTTTATGTTGTAAAATTTAAATGTTCACGATAAGCATTGCATATTAAATGCTAAATAGTTTTTATGTATTAACGCATTAAAAATATTTAAAAGGAAATATTTACTTACATCGTTTAGCGCTGTGTGCTTGTAAGTAAGCCGTGATAATATCATATTGTTTATCACGTTTAGCAGTAAGATAATCTTTTCGGCGCAGCTGACGGATAAGTAACCCGCCTGTGTGAATGATGTGGTCATGTAGAGTCATAAGCAGGATCTGCAGTTCATTCTTTCCTGTACATAAAATTATCTTCTTTGGTGTATATTTATTTAAAAAAAATTATTTAGACCCGCCTGTGTGGTCATGTAGAGTCATAAGCAGGATCTGCAGTTCATTCTTTCCTGTACATAAAATTATCTTCTTTGGTGTATATTTATTATATTTATTT